CCCCAAAACCCCAAAACCCCAAAACCCCTCGAAAACTTATTAATCAATAAAAAGATAAACATATTTTCAAATTTTACACTTCATTTTTAGAAAGTAATTAATTATTTATTAGATAGATAGTATTTTTATATGATTCTCACTTTTCCTCAATTTCTGTATCTGCATTAGATCTGGGTATTCTTTAAATTTCTTTATCGGTACATCTATGATAAAAAATATTTTTTCTCCAATTTTATCTGGATCTTATTACACTTCCTGCTACTTTTAATAGTAGTCTAAATTTTCATTTTCCAAGATTGCTCTAAGTCTACAAATCACCTCGACTAAAAATTCAATACTCATTTCATTATTTTGAAGTTTGTAATCTTTATAAGAACCCTTCAAATAATTGATGTTGACAAACTATCCCGAGTAAGCATTACCTCCAAGCAAATTGTACGAATTTTTAATTGTAGAATTTACCTATTTACTCTTCTCGAATGCTTATATTAAACAATTTCCAAGGACATTTAAGGTAGTTTCCTACTGACATTCTTCAAGAGTCATCAAATGATAATTTTAAAGATACTGATAGCGCTTGCTTCGAACAAAGATAGGAATATCATTAAGATGCTACTCCTCAGATATTGTTTCAGATAGTGGAGCGAATGTTTTTAGCAAAAATAAAACATTTTTGTCCTCATTTATCCACGTTATTTCCTTCCTATCAATAATAACAAAATTTTGCAACTGAGATTTAGTCTGTAGCACATATCTTGAAGATTTCAAAACTGAAGCGTCAACTTATTTGATTCTCATGTCTTTACTGAAAAAACACTTTTCTAAAGCTAATTTTAAAAAATGGTATTTTACATTATGGATCTAATTTTTCTAGAATTTTCATTATCAACTCTCTGTTCATAAAAGATAAAATATACAAGTTATAGTATTTTGACACTTTTAGCAAGAATTCTCTAGCATCTTTTCAAATACATATCAACATCTACAAATTATAGAAGTCAATTTGATATATTAAGCCTACTCGCTACTTAATAATTTCTCTTTATCTAGGACTTATAATCTCCTCATATCTCTTTTTATCTACTATATCGACTAATGTTCTATCAATGTCAATAATTAAACTTATTCTCATTGATTCAAGTGGTATTAATTTTTAGTCATAATGTTCATAGGCCTATTTTTCGCTACTATTATTTTCAAACAGTAGCCTTAATTGATCTTTACTGCTAGAATTTAATTTTGTTATTGATAGTTATCCACTGCTAGTGCTTAGGCTAACTGATTTTTAAGATTCGGTGGATTCTGAAGGTTGTCTAAAGCTATAATTAAATCCATTCAATTCTTTAAGGTCCTTCTTAATGGCTCTATTATCCAATGATCTATTTTTAAAGAACATATCTGAAAATGCGTGCAATATAAAATAAGCGTATTAAGTTAAAAACTAAGATTTCTTATAATATTTAATTATTAAAATGCTTGATGCTGATTATTAATATTTCTCAGAATTATATAGATCTGATTTTATCACTTCGGGGTTTTGGGGTTTTGGGG